TTCCTAGTTTTCTAGTGGCCCTCCACTCGGTGTCGGTGGATATCAGACAACACAGAACTCTCTCTCTCTCTCTCTCTCTCTATTATTGGTCCTTGTATATATATAAGTCTAGTTGAGTTCAGGGAAGTGGGATTATGGGTTTATGACCTTTAAACCAGATTAGCGACGAAACAATAAATTAATCTCCTCTAACATCTCTATGGGTCATGGACACCCAACTAGGCAAATAGAAAACAACGGCGAAGAATTACATCCATAAACCACCAACAAGATAATTTATATATGAGGAATGCTATTTACAATCGCTTCTCACGACACTTGCTAGACACGTATACACGCGTTCCCAATGTATTCTCCTTTTTATTTTTTTATTCTTCTCTCTTTATTTCTCTCGGTTGCCTCGCGCTCCCTCTTATCTCTCTTCTTCTTCTCTCCGTCTCCCTCCCTCTCTTTCTTTTTTTAATTTTCTTTCTCTTTCTTCTTCTACTTTTGTCTCTCTTTTATTCTTCTTCTTCTTCTTCTTAGTCTCCGTATCTCTCTCTGTGTAAATTTGGTTAAATGCCAGATGCCAAATACTGGTTTTTTTTTTTTTTTTTTTCCTACTTTCTCTCCGCCAGTTTTCTTCTTTGGCCATATTCGCACTATCGGAAAAAAAATTGGGGGTTGTGAACCTTTCTGGGTTATGAAATTTTGGGGGTTTCTATAATCCCTCCCTCTCAAATCTCTGCCTCCAGTATTTGGCATCTGGCATTTAACCAAATTTACACAGAGAGAGATACGGAGACTAAGAAGAAGAAGAAGAAGAATAAAAGAGAGACAAAAGTAGAAGAAGAAAGAGAAAGAAAATTAAAAAAAGAAAGAGAGGGAGGGAGACGGAGAGAAGAAGAAGAGAGATAAGAGAGAGCGCGAGGCAACCGAGAGAAAGAAAGAGAGAAGAATAAAAAAATAAAAAGGAGAATACATTGGGAACACGTGTACACGTGTCTAGCAAGTGTCGTGAGAATCGCTTTAGAGCGATTGTGAATAGCATTCCTCTTTATATATAGACTCTATGAATGAATTTAATTTGTTAATTAATTAATACTATTGATGATATGCATCTAACCTTCACAAGCGTACAATCTTTGTATGAGTCATTGTCGATACAAACCCTGCAAATTGCAAAACCAAACCAAACTAGCCATTCATTATCGATGCTTCCAGCATAAAATAAATTAAGTTTACGAATGATAAAAGTTAATGTAATACCATGGAGGGTAGATTCTTTCAATAAGGCATTCGAATTCGGGGTCGATATAGGGCCGGTAAAAAATCTCCATCTTCTTCTTCTTCTTCTTCCTTCCTTCCTTCCTTAGCGAATGTAGGAGTAATTTTCTGCTACTTTATCACAACGACAAGGAGATAGCATTGCTGGTTTTGTTGATAGCTGTATATGAATACATATATGGAGGAGTTTGAGACCTTTCAAAACACATGCTGAAAACAACGCGTCTAAAAAAAATAACTTGTACAAGGGATAAGACAGCGGCGTCGTCTATATAAAGCTTGTTTCTTAAGTCAAATCATATGACATTAGATGAATTACAGCACATATATACTATCATTAAATAAAAAATATTTCATGAATATCTAGGATCCCCAGCTTTGCTCTTATTGAAGGAGCTAGAAAGACCAAGATTTTGTCGATGATTAGCTTGGAATATTCAAAGTCGTTTTCAGGACGGCAAATGCATTGTATAGAAATATAATTGGTTTGACCCGGAAATACTGGTGGCAATTCATTCGGATATATCCAAATCTCTAACCAGAAATTAAGGAAGAAAGAAGAAAAGAAAACCAGGATTGTTTAAAACTTTTAATAAAACCCAGATCAAAACACACATGCACCCTCTCTCTCTCTCTCTCCCTCTCTCTCTAGAACTCCATCAACATAATATAACATTGATCTAAATATTTTTATGGATGAAAACTCTTGTGCAAAACTTGGAAAGAAAAGCATAAATAAAATCAATACTGACCAGTTGATAGATAGAGGAGGAGCAGAAATCTTTGCAATTTTGGCAAATGCGAACGCGCAGCGCAGCTTGGAACAACAGTGCTCTCTGTTATATATGCATATAGTATATATAAATGAAGAATGGGTGCCTTGATCAATTATATAACCCACCCAAAACTCTTCTTCCTTTTCAATTTGCCTCATCAGCTGACAAGTTTTAATCATTTTCCATTCACATTTATATCATAGTTTGTTGTTAGGTTTTTATTCAACACACGTGCTGCCACGCGGTCGATTGAGGTTTCCTAGGAGAACTCGAAGTTTGGTTGCTTTTGAGCCACGTACAAGCTTGCCGCCACGTGGCAGAGGGACCGACGTCCTTCAAATTTACATGATCATATGATGTTTCCAACTGCGGCGGCTCGGCATCAAATTTCATCAAAAACAAGTTCACAATTGTGGTTTAGAATCTATTTCGGGATTTACAGCTAATTCTTTGGAAGACACAGAGGTTTCTAGGACTCATTTGTCATTTTGAGGTTTTACCCAGTCAGCCTTGATGTGGCTCTGATCTCATCTCATCTCCAATAAGAGTGACCATCGCACGCAATCCAATGGCCACAAAGACAGGTCTGTTTGCACCTGTGCTGGCGTGGCAAGATCATGGTGCACTGGAGTTGGTTGAGTCTTGAGTCTTGGATTGGAATATAGTGCCACTTGCAGTGGGTCTTCTACCCAAGTCATATATGTGGTTCTAGAATTCTACCATGGAATGAAAAACACTCTAGTTCTCTCCTACCATCTTTGGTCAAAGGGCAATAATGTCACTGCACGCACGCAGCATGTGGGTTGGGTTTTAATTGACGGAAGTAGTCGATTGAATTTTGTTGATAACTTTAAGTAACATTGCTTTCAGTGCCGCAATTATAACAAGAATTGTTTCCACCTTCATCATGCCTTGATGAGTGATGACAGTGAGATTAAATTCCAATTTAAATTTCACTATTTATAGAGAGCACCTTCCTCCTATTTTACAATTCATGAAAAGATGTGTGTAATATGCTGACAGTAGAGGATTTAAATACTGTTTACTACTAGAGTTAGAAGCCTCCATGAGTTTTCTTCAATTTTATAAAATTATTTTACTTCAAGTGAAAAATTATATTATGTATCTATGAAATTAAAATATTGTTCGTATTTACTAACATTTATTATGTTTAATATTTGACACCATTGCTATTGTACTCAGAAGGAGTAATGCTATTTAGACACACAACATTGACCACCTTAGCTGACCACCTTATGTAGCAGCTGATATGTCATGCTATGTTAATTAATGAATGTTGCCACGTGTATTTTATTTTATTTTATTTATTCTCTTTAATAATCCTTAAAAAACAAAAAAATAAAAACTGAAAAAACAAATTAAAAAACCCTAGCGTCCCTGGTAAGTGGCCTCACGTCTGTTCTCAACTCTTCCTCCCGTCTCCAGCATTCCATTCCTCCATTGTGTTGCACTCTGAGCTTGTTTCTCCATAAAGTAATGGGTGCTACATCGGATATCTGCAGAGGAAGACTTATAATCTGCTTGGTTCTCTTTTTCAACATTAGTCATCAATGCATTTTCATATTGTTCCACAAATTGCTTCAAGGTAGTCTTAGAATTTACGTGGTCATCAAAAATTGCATTCATACTCTCACAAAGCTTGACACGCAACGACATCTTTCATCATATAGGCCTCGTAACCAATCATTACTCTGTAACTCAGACTCCTCAATCATCTCTTTCCAATGATTTTCAAACTCAATATTGGTCAATGAATCATACACAATATTCTCCAAGGCAAATTTAATAGATTCATAGTGTTTGTAACTCTTAAGCTTTTCATGAAGCTTCTTCATTATATGACATAAGCACCAACGATGCTTAGTGTTAGGAAAGACAATCTCAATGGCATTTTTCCTGGCTATACCAGGGTTTTTCAAATTTTTAAAAAAAGAAATAGTACAGCCACTCGGCTATACTCGGTTTGTTTCCAATTTTTTTCAAAAGAAATAGTATTTCGCAATACTGGGTTTGTTTTTCCAATTTTTTATAAGAGGAATAGTATAACCGTGCGGATATACTATTTTTTCCCTAGTTTTTAAAAAAGGAAATCGTATAGCCGAGCGGCTATACGCGGATTTTTCCAAATTATTTTATAAAATAAATAGTAT